GCTGAACCCTGTCCTGGACATCAGTGTATTTTATATGACATTTCTAATGAATAAGCTTTTGATTCTCTTATAACAGTCTTTGGTGTTACTTTTTTATATTGCGGCTTATTTTCTCTCACCCTTTCTAAAGAGACAGAATCTTGAGCTATTTAATCTGTTATATGTTCCCTGGCCCCTGAAAGATGTTCATAGATAACTAATTTTTTCAGCTCCAGGAGATGAATGGCTCTTGAGGAAGGCACTTAAATGACATGCGTTGGTAGTTAAAATCAAGTGCCTGCCATGAAATGTGAGATTCCCCCTCATGGGGCTTAAATGTCTATTTTTCTGAGACAGGACTCCTGTAAGGTTCTGCTGACTCTTCAGCTGAGGGATAGATAACTGAGTACATATACAAATCATTTAATGTGTGGTGTGTGAGCTAGAAAGAGAGACACCAAAGGAGAAGGCTGAATGAAGTCTTCCCCTTCAGAGTCACAGACTTTTCTTCAGCCATGTTCTGTTTGGTACCTTGTGTAAAATGAGCTTCAGTTATCTCAGTCCAGTTCCTGGTGTTATATCAAAAACCACCAATACAGCTAGTTCTGATAGTTTTTTAACACACAATGCCAACAACAAGAGTTACGGATAGAATGGTTCATTGAGTATACATGCTCAAATTGCAACAAAAACTGAGGCATGGCCTGATGCTGCTCAGGCTATATGCTTTTTGGATAAATATAAATCTTCAGGGCTATCAAGCTTGTGCCTTTTACCATATTCAGAGCAGTTAAAGAAGGGTTTTTTTTAAAGTTCTGACAAGCCAGTTATTCTGTGTAATGGCAGTACTCTGTAATTCAGTTGGTAAACTAGCATAAAGTATTTTCTGCTGCACTTAATTTCCTTTGAGACAAGGAAAAAATATTTTCCTTTACATCAGAATTAATGCAGGCTAAGAGCAAACTGGGTTCAGGCATCAAAGTAAATGTTAGTTTTGATTGTAGCCTATGAAGGAGGTCTTTATTACTTGCCCATATGCACTTCTAATAATAATCAAGCTTGTACCAGCATGGTATTGCTTACTAGGGTCTGATGAAGGAATGAGTCAAGGGAAAGGCAACATTCTACATTATTCTGACTAAATTCTATGTTATTAGCACACAATATTTTCTTTTCACAAAACAAAGAGCGAGCTTCTACAGAAGAACATGCCATCGTGCTCTAGTCATTAATAGCCCAATGTCTAGTTGGAAAGAGGTATCGTGCAGACTCCCCCAAGAGTCTGTCATGGATCCAGTATTGTTTAACATCTTCATTAATGATTTGGATGATGGCTTTTAGTGTGTGCTTAGCATATTTGTGGATTACACCAAGTTAGGTAGAGTTGCAGACGCTCTGGAAGATAGGGCTAGGATTCATAGTGACCTGGATAGACTGGAAAAATAGTCCATAATCAGATTCAACAGGAACAAGTCCTGAACTTGGGATGGGATAATTGCATGCACAGACTGGGGAATGACTGGGTAGGCTACATTACTACAGAGAAGGACCTGGGGGGTTATAGTAGACCATAAGCTGACTGTAAGTCAACAGTGTGTTTTTTGTTGCAAAAAACAAAAATGCCAACAGCATACTTGGGTGTCACTTGTAAATCATGAGAAATGATTCTTCTATTCTGTTTAGCACTGATGAGGCCTCACCTGGAGTACTGTTTCCAGTTTTGGGCCTTGCGCTTCAAGAAGGGTGTAGACATATTTAGAAAGAGTATACCTGTGAACAATAGAAATGATTAGAGGCCTAGGAAGCATGACTTATGAGGAACAGCTGAAGAACCTTAGGTGTATTTAGTCTGGAGAAGAGAAGACCGGGGGGAAATTTGATAACAGTTTGCAAATACCTGATTGGTGATTATAGAGAGGATAGAGATGGGCTTTTCTCTGTGGCTACAGAGGATGGGACTAGGAGCAATGGCTTCAATCTGCAGCAGAGGAAATTTAGGTTGGCAATTAGGAAGAACTTTCTGTGTGAAGGGGGTCAAGCACTGGAACAGGGTACCTGGAGAAGTTGTGGGATCTCCATCTCTGGAAATTTTCAGAGTAGTTTGGACAAACACTTGGCTTGGATGGTTTAGTTGAGATGATCCTTCCTTGAGTAGAGGGGTGGGCTAGATGACCTTGTGAGGTCCCTTCCAGCCCTACTTTCCTATGATCAACCTTTAAGTGGACGAGTTGCATTTAGATGCCTAAAGGGAGAGTTGGATGATGCAAAGGCCCAAATCCAGCTTTAAGTCCTTTTCAGTTTTAAATACCATCTGACAAAATCTTAGGTGGTTGGAATCATAGCTTGATTATCCTCAGAAACAGAGAATGTAGCTATGGAAGCTGATGCTAAAAGAGGTTTGGCAGTATGAATTCCCATTGGGACTGATTGGACAAAAGTCTCTCTGAACATAAGAGATGCCACTGAAATGCTTGATGCTTATTGAGGACCCCCTGAAAATGGCTTATACTGGTTGGCTGAAAAGAAATGGCAATGAAGAACATTCCAGGGAAATTTGCATGAGAATAAAAGTAACTGATTTGATGGTATAATACCTTGACAGAAAGAGATGCACTCATTAGCTTCTGTAGGCTGAGCTTTGCATACAATGGAGGTTTCTTCATTCCTTTGCGCCTCTCACTTCAAGGCTTTCTATGTCTTCATTCCATCTTCCACCTGCTACAGGGTCTCTGTGTCTCCTGTGCTAGATGCCTCAATTTCCCTCCTTGTGAGAGGTCAGTGTTCCCTTTGGTTCCACCTTCCCCCAAGCCATAGGCTCTATATGCATTTTCATGGTCTTCATTCCCCACCCTTAACCTGTAGGCTAGAGACTTTGGGTGTCTCTTGTGTCCCCCTCCACCCTTTATTTTTTTTACCTAGGGGTGGGTCATTTAGGATCTCATGTGCAGAGATGAGATGGCACAGGATTGTTATGCTGGAAGGTATTAATAGATGTGATCAAGCAGTTCTTTATAGAGAATTAGAATTTTGACTGAAGCTGCTGAGTCCACTAAACAGATTGACTTTTATTAGTAGATGTTTAGGATTGTGAATCCAAAAAGGTGACAAAGCCAGTAGGGAAATACAAATCGCCCAAGCGAGGGACTAACATTAGAGGGATGGGGGTGAGGACAGGAATGCAACTAGGTTACAGAAAATACAATGTTAGCTCTTGTAGAAAATACAAGGCTCTTTTGCCTCCAAATCCAGAGGCTTCTT